AACCAGAGCCCCCAGAACATACAATAGTAGAGGGGAATTGAGGCCTCTATCCCAAAAGTGGACTTGATCATAGACTGTATATTTGCCAGATGAAGATGATAGTCTTGGTTTATCTGCTGAAAGATGGTACATTTATGCTCCTTATTGATCAGGATAGACATTTTATTGGGTTTCTTCATTAGGATAATTCAGCTGGTGTTGAGATACTGAATGTTTAGTTTGTTGGAAAATTTTGGATCTAATTCAACAATATCCACAGTATTCTTGCAGTCCCCAGTATCATATGTCAGCTTAATAAAAATAAGGTGCTGTATGATGAGAAACCCCTTTAAAGTGGGCTTTTTGACCACAAAGGAGTCAGAATCTTTCTCAATGACTGTCACACATGACATAGGCACTTTGCTGTAAAAGGCTGTGACCTTCTTCAATACCTGCTGCCCCTCTACTATTCTATAGTAATTGGTCTCTTTGTTGTTGTCTTTGTTACCGTCACTCACATAAGGGCTATAGGTAGTATCAATTACTAGCTGAACCTTTTTATCCTCTTGTTGGAACATACTCCTGCTGGTAAACAGGATTGAATACCAAATAAGTGAGCTAAAATTCCTTGTTTTTCACTGTCTCTAACATGGCAGCTTTGATAGCTTTTCTAGATAGCTTGGGCATCCTCAGGTTTATGCTCCTCTTCCTCCCAACCTGTGGAGCACTCTAACCCCAGTGCACACTGACTTAATTGTTGTTTTTATGTTTTTCCTTCCATTTTAATGTATAATAAAATCCAAAATCAAGCTTCACTAATATTGCAACCAAGATTCCCCTCTTGCCTGCCAACTTATCTCACAATACACAGGGGGCCCTTGATGTGTTGCCCCATGATGTATCTAATGATATGGATCAACCTGATGGCAGTGTCAAACTGTGAGCACTATCTCCTAATTAGGAGTGCTGTCAATTTGACATCACTGATCCCCATGCAAGTTATTCCTCAGCTTTGAACTTTACATGGAACCCGCCACTGTGTCCCCCTGGTGGTCTTGTGGCTCTCCTCATATAGTATATTAGCCACAATATCAATTAATAAACCTTATCTTATTATTTTCATTTCTGTCCTTTCTATTGGACTGTTCTCTTCTCCAATCAAATACTGAACTATCATTGGTTCAGTTGCAACACCAAGCTAAAAACCTGGTTTTAAAGTGCACTTTTTATCTGGTTATGGTTATTTAATAAGAATACACCCCACTCCATTGCCTATTTATAGATTTTCCATATATTAGTTAGTTGTATTTGGTTTTACACAACCCATTATAGAACCAAAAATAAAACCCTGGCCAATTTCTCCAGATTTTACACTATGAGTAGATAGTCAGAACAGCATTTTATGATTTATGTTTCATATTGTGTGTCTTATTTTAGATATATGGGTATCATGTTTGCAAACAGCTCACTTTGTACAGCAACTAATTATTTTTGTTTGTGGGTTGAGTTGCCATTGTGCTTTGTTTTTGGTTTAAGTTTTGAGCCACTGAAGTTGAGTGTATTTTGTCACCAATTCATGTAATAAACATATGTACACCAATGGATTCCTGAACCCATTTTGTCGGTCATTCCATGCATTTTTTATAGCATTTTAACTATTCTCTCTTATATTATAGGTTATTTGTTGCCTTGCTGAGTCATCTCACCCATCAATGTTCTAAATCTCTGTTAACAGGCTGTATATTTCACACTGGTGTTTGGAATTTGTTTAAGTCTGAGTCCATTTTGTTCACAGATGACTCAATTTTGCTTATCCCTGCATCTTTGAAAACAACTTTAATAAACATAATCCAATTTAAGGCCATCTGTTTATTTCCTAGTCAGCCATCATAACTTAACAAGATGTCAATCTTTGATCAAACAATGATAGTTGACCTGAAGTTGGGGATCAAGGTAATCCCCTTCCCAGTGTCATTGAAATTTGTCAGTTAGGGTATTGTAGAGGTAAGAGAAACTTTTCTCTCTGTTAGAATCAATAAAATCAGCTAAGTTTATGCATCTTGAGTATTACACCCTTTTAGGAGTTTATTATATGTATACATATCTTATTTTGCTAGTGTTGTAAAATTGAGAGTGTCAATAAATTAAGTTGAAGACTTGGTAAGATGAACTTGAATCATTTAAATCTATACACCTTTATACTTCCCAGGCTAGGAAGTTGGATCATTAAGTTGCCCCTCCAACCCACCTTTACTTCTATTAAAGAAAACCTACCCCATTACTTTTAACTAATGTCAAGGTTTCCTTCTCCAGACCCTCCCCAGAAAACCCTTACATTTTCCTACAATTTTGAGAATGAAAATGACAGCTAAACCTCAAGATCACCCCCCCACTATTGCCACACCTTACCAAAACTACAGTAAACTAGATTTTGCCTATGTGGCCATCTTGGGGCTCACCAAGTAGGTGATCCCTGATATGAGAGCAATGGCCCTTGGGCAACTGCAGTCATCTATTTGATGAGACTGGCACCAGTCATGTATTAGGCTTTTCAGGTACACCCCATTTCTAGCTCAGATGGGGCCTCTGGGGAAAACCCAGGCTATGACACAATCTTGAGTTAAATCTTGAGATTTGATAATATAGCTCTTTTAAGATTTATGATCCAATCTGTTTAATTGAGGATTGGGTTTTTAAGTTGGCTAGAAAATAGGTCAAATTTTTAGAAGTCATACCCTATTTTTCTGGTTCAAGGTTTACCTGAGTGTTTCATTAGCACCTATTTTGCTATCAAGCTTAAAGTTGAGTTATGTGAAATGATCCAGCTTTAGTCGATGATAAAGGAGGCTTAGTTATTGAAGCTGCTCAAGGTTTCGAAAGGCTAAGGTTGGGAAGGTCACAACTTTATAATATAAACTTTGATCAAAATACTTTTTGATTAGAAATATGATCTTCAACCCTGGCCATTGCATGGGCAAGTTAGCGCCCTTGTTTCCGAAAGAAGTAAGGCACAAATCTGCATTGGATTTTTTCAATTGTGCAAATAGCTTGGAATTGCCATCGTAATAAATGGCATTTCAGAAGGATCTTATCCCTTAGATACAAGATTGTGGCTAGGGTGCTACATGGCTTATTAACCTCAATACGACTCACCAATCGCTTCCCTTCCTATATTTCAAACAGCTTTTATTACACTCGAGCCAAGCTAAAGCAACGCTTTATATTGTTTAATCCTTTAAAGATACAGCTTAATGTCAACTCCTGCTCGCAGAAGGCTTATGCGTGACTTCAAGCGCTTACAGGTTGATCCAACTGAAGGGATATCTGGTGCTCCTTGCCCAGACAATATTCTTCTTTGGAACGCCGTTATTTTTGGACCACGTAAGTATTTCTTCCGTATTTTTCTTGAGCACTTTCCCCATTCTTACTCTTAATTCTTCAGCGGATACCCCTTTTGAAGATGGGACGTTTAAACTTGTCCTTCAATTTGATGAAACCTATCCCAACAAGCCACCTACTGTAAAGTTCACTTCTAAAATGTTCCACCCAAATGTTTATGCCACTGGTGAGTTATGCTTGGATATTCTTCAAAACCGTTGGAGCCCAACTTATGACGTTGCTGCTATTTTGACTTCGATCCAATCTCTTCTCCATGACCCTAATCCCTCAAGCCCAGCGAATGCTGAAGCAGCGGCTCTATATCGAGAGAATACTAAAGAATACGTTCGCCGTGTCAAAGAGACGGTTGAGCAATCTTGGGAGGATTAGATATATCTAATAGCTCCTGAATTAACCCTTGTCTTATATCCCTTATGCCTGTGAACTTTTATTAAACCCTTGGCGCTTTATAATCTGGTACGACTAACCTTTAAATAGCCACCCTAGACTTCGTGTTTAACCACAATGGCCTTTTAACGGGGTTTGGTAAAGTTGATAGTAGTTTATTTCGGCATATAAGGAGAATGATCCATGTAGCTTGGCTAGTAGTTTATTATCTTTAAAGTACAAAAATATAATTGCTTCTTTTCTTAGTACATTGATGAAGCTTTTCTCTGGTGTTCCAACAAAAGTCTCGAGGTTGTATACAACTATTCAAAGTTTCTTCCGCTTGAATCACCAGGCTTAAGAAATCCGACAAAACACCAATTCCATTTGATAAACTAGTTTTTTTGTTCTGGCATCCTTGTGTGGCCTTTGAAGATTATGATTTATAGTTTGACAGCCAAATAATAATGTTTTAAAAGTGGAGCTTATACTCGGCGGTGGTTTGTTCTTGCCGGTGTACCCAAAAGAATTATCCCACTTTATATAAGTTCAACCACCACAGACCAAGTAATAATACGGATTTGCCCTTATGGGAATGTACTTTGGCTCATATCTTTAAGTTGGTAGAACTTCATGTACAATCTTTTAAAAGAGCTAGATCTCAGTAACTTTATATCAAAGCTAGGCAAAGTATGTTACATTGTAAAGTTGACCTTTAAAATGTAAAATCCTTTGAGTCTACTTTCCCAGTTTAAAAAAAAACAATAGCTTTGATCAATTAAGTATAGAGCTAACAAGATCAATAATGTACTTTACGAGCATCAGCTGTAAACTTTTAAAGGGATTAAACTCAATGCTTAGATAGATTGCTTCAGGCGGTGTTGGTTTAATAATACTTTAACATTAGAGCATGTGTAATCAGTCATACCAAATTTATACTAAGTCCTAACCAAAGTGTTCTGGATTAACTAGTACGGACCTTAGCTCTTTTGGTTGGATATGCATTTTAATACTGGATATCAATTCTGAACTAGGAAACAAGCAAAACGATAACTGTTAGGACTTCTTATTAAAGCCTCAATCTTTACCAAAAATCAAGCATAGGCGTATATTAAGATGGTAAAAAATCGATCGGGGTCCTCTAAAAGCGATTCCAAAAAATACACTTCTGGACAGTACCTAAAACAGCGCATAGAACGCTTATAATAAGAAACCAAAAAAGTGCTCTAGCCTGGTAAATTTTAAAAAAAAAGGTATGCTTTCGTTCGGGATCGAACCGAAGACCTTCTGCTTGTAAGGCAGATGTGATAACCAACTACACCACGAAAGCGCCGCTCATGGCTGGAATCGAACCAGCAGCCTCAAGATTAACAGTCTTACGCGCTAGCCAATTGCGCTACACGAGCTTGCATACCAAAAAAGGGGGGTTCAATAGTCAAAATCAAAAGAGCTAGTTATCAGTATTATGGATAGCACCCTCAAGGCAAAATGCTTAACCCAGGAGCTTTTTTTAAAAACAGCTCAAAAATATAATCTTTATATTTCTAATTATATAATATCATGAAAAATAATTCTTATACTTGGTCTACTTTGATTTTCAAACAAGTAGTATCATAACTGCCATTTAAGTTCAGGGATTGTCTGGAATATTCAGAATCATGTCAGAATTTCCAGAGTGTAATACAGTTTTACATATGACTCTCATGCAAAACATGATTCAGCCACCAATATGGATTTATGATGAATTACTGGATTCAAAGTAATACTTAAACAGTGATAGATATAAGCAATGATAAAAAAGTATCTGTATAGCTTTTGATAGGACACACCATCTTAAATTTGATCCAAGAGGGTGTTTTTTGTGTTAGTGATTTTGAATCAAAAAAGTAAAATAATTATTAAAGTAGTTGAAATCCAATTATAAATTTATAATACAGCATCTCAAAAATACAGCATCTCACTTTTATCATTGCTGGTCAAATTATTTAACTTTATTCTGCAAACTTTATTTACATATGAAATCCCTTAGTGTGAGGCGTGTTCACACCATCTCAAATCTACACCATCTCAAATCTACACCATCTCAATTTACAAAATTTATAATGTACTAAAATAAGCTTATATAAGCACTTTGAAAAGCCTTTTGTATAATGTCATAAGATGTTCCTTTAGTATTAATCCAAGACACTTATAACAGGAGCAACCTAAAACACCACCACTAAGGTAGTCCTACTATTGATTATCATTGCCGTTTAAAAAACACTTTTACTATATTTAATTTATAACTTATTTATACAGTAGTTTTCAAAACTGTTGAGATAAAGATATATTAGTCAATTTAAAACTCATAGGTTCAGTCAAAAAACAAATTTCAACTGGAACCAGTTGAAGGTCAATTTACTCAATAAAACTTTCATTTATCTATGGCCAGAACACAAAAAGGGTCAATCACACAACAAAATTAAAGTCAAATACTGATTTCCAAAAATGAGACAGCAAACACATGGAACCCATATTCAAAACAAACACAATCCAGCCACTCCATGATTTATTCTACATCAAATTTGATAATAAGTGTACAACAAAAATGATACAAACAGAGAACACATGAGGTTCAGTCACAAAAGTGATGAGCTCAAACATGAAACAACTCATTTTTTTATAAAATATTGATTATTTTTGGGACTCAAATTCAAAATAAAGGATTTCAGGGGTGAATCCACCAAAATCTATTCAGGGAACTACAGCATTATTTTCAATGTACACGCTTCTAAATCTGGGCATTCATGTCTGAGAAAATGTCTCAAAAAGGAGCACACATTTAAATAAAATCAATACTCTGGAAATACTTTGTTTTCCTGTTTTTAATAGAATTTTTATTGTTTTTTTGGTTACAATGAGTTTTTCAAGTGAAGATAACTTTGATATTGTTGAGGAGCAGTACCAGGAGCTACTCTAAGCTTGGGCTTCTGATCAAGGGAGTGCAACCACTATGGTTCCTGTGTACATCCAATTTCATGCAAGTCATGAGGAGGGTGAGTTGTATGTGTCACCAGGCCCATCCACAGGTGGCTTTTCTGATAGCCAATATGATGCTTCCCAAGACCAGACCCAACCTGAGCCTGTACCACATTTTGGAGACTGGGCAACTGTGGCCCCCTCCAACCCAATCCAAACATCACTCAAGAATCCAGGCCAACCAGAGCAAGCCCTGCCTTATTTGGTACTAGTATTTCAAGTGGGCCCCAAAAGCAACACCTAGTAACCAATGAGGTGATAGAGGAGATTGTAAGCCTCAAACAGAGTGGCATGAATTTTGCAGAAATTGCCACCCATCTTCAATTCACCGAGGCAGTGGTTAAGCATGAGTTCCAAGCCCTCTTGAAGAGAGGTAGTGCAAAGCTGGCCAAAGAAGCCAAAGAAGCAGGTCAAATCCCAGATCAAGGAAGCATATCCCATCATGCTTGACCTTCTGCAATGTGACCCATACCTCTGATTGACTGAGGTCTGTTGCCTACTTGGGCTCCAGGGCATCTTCATAGCCTGCCACACTGCACAGCTCTGGATACATGGGGTTGTAGTCAGTGTTCTGACTCTAACCAATCAGCTGGCCAATGAGTTAGATGATGGCTCTGATTTGCCTTACAACCCTGTGATTGATGCCACCATCACCTGCTGCCTGTCCAGTATTTTGGACGGTGTCATTTTTGTATCCTACTATAAAATGTCATTACAAGTCCAGGACTATGGCACTTTGGTGAAAAGAACACCCCCAAGGGTAAAAAGAAGGAAACAGAGGGAATTGCGATTGATGCATTCCTTGCAGCTTTCCCAAAAGGGACTGTATTTTACCAAACCACGTCCAGTTACACCAATAGGTACTGGTACTGCTAGAGTAAAGTGGTAAGCTGTGTGATTCAAGGAGATACAATGAGGATACAGTAAAAAAATTGTGAGTTGCTTGAGAATCAGGAGGCCAAATTGGGAGGACAGTTTTAGCATCTTGGAGCCAGTGGTAGTATAGCAAAAGATGGAAGTGAAAATTGTCAATGCATAAATGATTTGCAGGGGAAAATTAGAAAAAGAATTCTGAGGTGTCAACATATAAAGGGCAGGACATGGTGTAGCCAAGGAATCAATGGCAACCTTGACCATAACTGAGGCTAGTCTCTCAAGAACGAGGGCAAACAGCCCCAGGTGAGCTAATATTCTGGGAAAATTTTCTTTTATTTGAGGGTAATTAAGCTATCTAGAAACAAGTTTCTAGAGTGGGATGGGGGAAGTCTTAAGGTGATTCAGGATGGGAGTGGGGGTATTTCACGGCATTTGATTGGTTGGCAATAATATTTTCAGAAGTTGGAGGGCCTGAGTTAGAATTAGCACCAATGACATCATAATTCAAAAAAATCTGGCAACCAGCAGATTGAGTGCAGCCATCCTCAAATAGTGTATAACACGTGATTTTCTTATCATAGTTATTTGAGGAAAAATAAGGCAAATCCAAATTTTCCAGGGCTATTTGAGCAACCCCAGCTTTGACCCATTTTTTTTTGTTAATGACAGTGTTTAAGTCATCCATTTCTCTCAAGGGTTTGGCGGCAGTTCTTTGCTGATTTCTGGTTTCTCAAGGGCACACTATTCCTTCCATTTGGTTTTCTACCGTAACAGGTACAGAAAATTCCTCTCCAAACTTCTTGCCACCTAGAGCTTGGCCAATTCCAAATTTAGCTTTTTCCTGAGCCACCAAATGGAGTGCACTGAAGTGGCCTCTGAGAAGATCCATGCAGGCAGCCACAACATCTCAATTTTTCCTGCTGGCCATGTCAATTTACACCTGGGAGATGTGTTGTTCTTCAACATTGGGGATACCATCAGAGAGTTCAACCCCACAACCTTCAACCAGGTGGTTAG